AGGAATAGGATTTAAGATATCAAAATCCATACCGAGTAAATCAAAAGACACAAATCCATAAATAAGAGTCTGTTAAGAACTCATGATTAAGATAATTTTATATATGACCATCGGCAGACTCAATTAGAATTTCTATACTTAACAGAAATTATTAGAAATTCATATTGTGTCTGTGTCCATGTTCCACATAATCTCATTATACAAAATATACTCATTCAATATCTCGCCATATTAATATTGTGGATAACACCATTCCATTCTAAATGGGAATGACATGTATTAATAATGTTTTAATTAAAGATTCTGAACTTTAATTAAATTCATTATGAACACCATTTTTTATTATTATCCTTAAACATTATCCTCTCGTATATAACACTTATATACAACATTTAAGGTCACATAAATAATCATGAAATTTTCATTGATATTCATAAAATATTCATAAATATATGCACATAAAATAATGAATAAATTCTTTCATTAAATAAATAATAAATATTATATTACATCTCCTGCTTTTAAGACATCATTCTCAACAGCTTCACCCACAAAATCCTGGCTAAAAGAAAAGGTCATAGGTGACAGCTTAATGTAAAAGTATAATATCTATCATATCTTTCTATCTTTCAAACTTTTGGTTGGGTCCACATTCTTCGGGAAATAGAACAAAAAGATGTGGAGATCAAATAATACAATATTTATTTTGTTTGAGAATCAAACATTCAATATTTACAAACTACTATTTGGATTTTATATAAGGTTCATAGTTCCTAATAAACTATGGTGCTAATTATAAATGAAATGTATGGAATTTGCCAAAATTAGTTTACAGAAACAATAGTAATGCTTGCTTTGGACAAATATATATATATATATATAATAAAAAATCAATCAAAGAATATTTTCTTTTTAGAATATTGCAATAGATTTTTTTTTGAGTTGCCTCGTCGCATTCACGCAACACTATAATTAGATCATCTTCAATACAAATGTTTATGCCAATTATATATTTGACGCCAAAAAATATGATAAGACATGTTATTTTTATTTTTGCTCTAATGCATAATGCTAAAATTTACTTTTCTTATAATCATTAAACTTTAAAAATTGTAAAAGTAAACTCTTAATTTTAAAGTAATTTGAAAAATCAAAAGTTGTAATGATTAAATAAAGTAACCATACCAACTAATAGAAATCAAGTGTCAAATTTGTTATATGCACTACTTGATAGGAAATTTTACTACAAAATATAGCACAAGACAAATTTGATATAACAAATAGCATCGTATTAGAGAGTGCTGTTTATACTTAAATGTAAACTTACAATTGACACATCAATATACATTACATTAGATATCCTCGTAGACTTTTACATTATTATTTTAACTTCTTTTATTGGCACTCTACCCCCTAAAATATTTTAACAACTAACCTTTTAAATTTTAAAATTTGTTGCAAAAATACCTCCATGCTCCTTCTCTCTCGCTCTTTCTCTGCCCTAACCTTTCGAACGTGAAGCATAGTTCCTTTTTTTTGGCACCGAGTTGTTGTAGCTTGGACATTCTCTGAGCAACTATCTTGTGAAATTAAATCACTTTCAAAAGCCCTTCTTCGTCTCTTGATGATCTGAAATTAAGAAAGAAAAACCCAAAAAAGGAAATAAAAATGTTTTTGAGTTGTGATTAGATGGTGGGTGACAAGTGAAAGAAGGCAATGTTAGGAGACTGAGGGCGTTACTGATTCTTAAAAGGGGTGTTTTTAGTATTCATAGGTACGAGGTTGATTAAGTGCAGTTGGTGCAAAAGAAAGATGCGGTCTCAAAACTTTATACTCCAACGAGTCCCTGATCCTTTTAAAATTATTCTAGGCAATATGCCTCTAAACTTAGGCAATGTGCCTCCAAACTCAAACAATATGCCTCCAGTCTCAGGCAATGCGCCTTTAACAATCTGCACCAACGCGTCCTTCCTCTTCTAATATTTACATCTCAGTGCCCATGCGTCATTTACTCTCTCCTGACGATTGTCATCTCAGGATCCATGCACCCTCCCCTATTCTCTTCTCGATGTTTGTTGCCGTTGCAGCCCGTACATTACGCTCCATCACTCGTGTCGATTTCTTCTATCACGGTTCAAGATTGGATTCTCCTATCAGAGCTCCATCTAGCGGAGCATAATAAAAATGTGCCTCTAAACTTAGGTAATGTGCCTCCAAACTCAAACAATATGCCTCCAATCTCAGGCAATGCGCCTTTAACAATCTGCACCAACGCATCCTTCCTCTTCTAATATTTACGTCTCAGTGCCCATGCGTCATTTACTCTCTCCTGACGATTGTTGTCTCAGGATCCATGCACCCTCCCCTATTCTCTTCTCGATGTTTATGCCGTTGCGGCCCGTACATTACGCTCCATTACTCGTGTCGATTTTTTCTATCACGGTTCAAGATTGGATTCTCCTATCAGAGCTCCATCTTGCGGAGCATAATAAAAATGATTTATTTATTTAAATTTAAATTAATTTGCATTTAATTTATCCTTAGTAGTTATTAGATTAGTAGTTATCTTTTATTTTAGTTTGAATTATTTTAAATTATTAGTTATTAGTAGATAAGTCTTAATTTAAATTATTTGATATAAATTAGTATTTTATTCAAATTCAAACTCTTGATGTAACTCTATAAATATTGCATTTTCAAAAACTTGTACCATTTTACTTCAAAGTTTAAATCTTATTATCATGGTTAAAGACCTGGTTAAGGGGCAACTAACTAGTAAGTCTTTTGCATATGAGGGATTAAAAAAAAAAAGACTTGCGATCACAAACAAGTATATGAAGTTGGAGAGAATTTCATTTATTTATTTTTTTTATAATTAGAAAAAAAAAAGTGTGTTGTTTCTTTTTTTTTTTGGACAATGAGACATTGGACAAAATTATTACTTTTCTTTTTTTGGTTGGAGAAGAAATTAGGTCTTGTTCAATTTTTAATTTGAGTTTTACATTTGAATTAAAATTTGACTTTTTATGATAATTTTTTATTGTAATAGAAAAAAATTAAATATAATTTTTTAATAGAACTTTTTAATGTAGTAAATTGAAATTAAATCGGAAAACTAAGTAAGGTTTATTGTTTTTTCTTTAAAAAAAAAAAGAAGATTTCTACTTTTTGTTGCACCACCTGTCATTTCCTTTGTCATTATTTTTTTTTCCTTTAACTAAAAAAAATATTTTTTCCCTAAAAAGAAAACAAGGGAAAGCAGAATTTTGCGTACGTTTAATTCGTTAATTTGAGTTTTTAATTTGAGTTAAAATGTGATTTTATGTGAACATTTTTTACTGTAGTAAAAAAATTAAATATAACTATTTTTGATAATTTTTTATTATAATAAAACTCAAATTTTAAATTCAAATCAGTGAATGAATTGCGTACGTTTAATTCGTTAATTTAAGTTAAAATATGATTTTATGTGAATATTTTTTATTATAATAAAAAAATTAAATATAATTATTTTTAATAATTTTTTATTAAAATAAAACTCAAATTTTAAATTTAAATCAGTGAATAAATTAGCCTTAGAGCACCTCATTTAGTGGAAAGGCCTTTTCTTTTTTCTTTTTATTTTATTTTATGATAAAATAATGAAAGACCCTTTTTGTTCCAATTAACTGGAGTTTATCACATGATGATATGCTCAAACTTCCGCATCCAAACAAAAGATTGAACAGCTAAACGTGAAAGAAAATTGAAAACAACATGGTGGGACCCCCTAGTCTCAGCCTTTAATGTATCTAGTGTTCCAAATACCTCCACGTGTCCCCATTCAAACCTGTCATTGTCAACTGAGAGTACATCTGTCGATTCCACGTCACCCGTCACATTCATCCAACTTCATCATGTATGTCCATCTCATGACATAGCCATATATCATGAATAGTATACATTATACATACATGTTAAAAAATATATTAATTTCCCAGATTTATGAAAGTGGTCTCGGCTTGGGTACTAAATCAAAATTGTGATGTGTATATCTATACTTTGTTTATTGATTTATTTTTTAAGTCTATTTACACTTTTTGTGACATTATTTCATGCTAACCATTTTACATTATGTTTGACCAAAAAAAAAGTGAGAGAATTTTGATAGATGAGGATTAGAGTGCGTTTGGTTTAAGAATTTGTGACATGGTTCGAATCATAATTTATGACTCACTACAGTAATTTTTCTCACAAAAAATATACGTAAATCGAGAATAATTTTAAATTATGATTCTGAATTCATCAACTAAACCTACTCTTAGAGTTTGTTCAGTAACAGCATAAAAAGACTAAATTCCTAAAATAAATTTTTTTGGTAAGTTATTAATAAAGTTTTTTTTTTTATTTTTCCGTTACTAAACATTATTACAACAGAATTAAGAATTTTCGTGTAGGAGATAGAAATGTCTTGCACTATAATGACATACACAATTAAAAAAACTACATTCAAAAGCTCTCCTTTTCATTTTACCTTTCTTATTGATAGTGCTTTTTTTTATTTATTTTTTTTACATTATATCTTGCTAAAATTACATAACAATTAAAATAAGAATTTAAAATTGACGCAACCCGATAAACAAAAGTTTTTGTTTATGTATGTATCTCTTTAATGTTTATTCTATATTAAAATATAAAAAATATGCTTTAAAGTGAACTCTTGTAGTTTCTGTAATTTTCCACAACATTTTCACATATAATATTTTTCTTAAATTTATATAAAATCAGAATGTCAATATTTTTACTATATCGATATTTTCATTTTTTATTATAGATTAGTTTTTTATGTCTTAATCAGTGAATAAGTCATAAAGTTCTCATATAAAATTATATCACAACTCAAATTAAAAATTTAAATCAGTAAATTAAACGGTTATTGTTTGAAAATTGTTAATTTTCATATAAATATCACAAGTAAAAATTTAAGAGAAAAAATGTAAAAAAATTATATGTAACTGTTTTTGAGAGTTTTTTACTGTAATAAAACTTAAATTTTAAACTCAAATCGACGAAATGAACTAACATTAAGAAAGTCATTTTGGATGAGTAAGAACGGCTGTCCCCCTCAAGGTGGCCCCGCCGTTACTAATTAGAAAAAAATAGTAAAGACGCGTCTTTAAAAGGCGCGTCTCCAGCTCTCTCACGAAACACTTTCCCACAAAAACACAGCCAAAAGAAAAACAACTCAGAGAAAAAGAAAAGAAAATTCAGAGAAATCAGTCAGAAAATGGGAGGCTTCTCTTGCGAATCCGAATCATGGGTTTTGAACCCAGAAGAAGAACACCACGATCATCAGAGATCGCTCTCTCGAACGAGCTCTGGATTTGAGTTTCGGTCGAAGAACAACCAAGAAAAGAAGAAGAAGAAGAAAACGAAGAAGGAGAATTCGTGTTCAGAGAAGAAGAACGGGGTGTTGCTGGAGCTGGAAGGAGATGAGCTTGGAAGGACGAAGAGTCTGACGGACGATGATCTCGAGGAGCTCAAAGGGTGTGTGGATCTGGGTTTTGGTGGATTCAGTTATGATGAGATTCCGGAGTTGAAGAACACGTTGCCTGCTCTGGAGCTCTGCTATTCCATGTCTCAGAGCTCTTCTCTTTCTGACTCCTCATCCACTCCCATTCCTAATTGGAAAATCTCCAGTCCTGGTTAGTAATTACATCTCTTTTTTAAGCCAATACCCATCTGTTTTTTTTTTTTTTTTTCTGTTTTTTGGTTTAGATGGTCGTTTTTTTTTGTTTGCGTTTTTGTGTGTTAAAATGATTTTGTTCTTTGTGCTTTTGACTTCTGTAGCACATTGTCAAGTGGGTTCTTCGTTTTCTTCTTTTTTTTTTTTGGGTTTTGTTTCAATGGTGATCTGCATGTCCATTTTAATGGTGATCTTGTCTGCCGAGAATTAGAGGATCTTTTTTTTTTTTTTGGGAAAACTTGCAGAATTTAGTTTCCTTGGTCTTGAAAATATGACATAAAAGGGCGTTTCATTAATTTGGAAAGGAATCATCAAAATCTAATTTATTTAATTTTTCTTCTCTTTTGTCCAGGTGACCATCCAGAGGATGTTAAAGCAAGGCTCAAATTCTGGGCACAAGCCGTGGCTTGTACTGTTAAATTATGCAGCTGAACTATCAAAAGAAAACACTTTATAATGAATTCATATCTTTTCCAAAAAAGAAATATGTTACGGCCATCAATCATCCTTTGAGAAAAAAAGCTGGATCTTTTATGTGAAGAGCTGTGTGCTCTTCACTGGTCCACTCCTAGGAAAAAAAAAAAAAAAATCCTAAAAAATTCTCAAGTTGAAGCTGGAGATGGGCCTTCAAAAGGTTCTGCTCATGAATGGGATTAATGGGTTCTATCTATTTTTGGAGAAGAAACAAGAAAGAGCTAAAGAAGGAGGAGGAGGAGAAGAAGAAAGAAGAATGTTTCAGGTTTGAGATCATTCTCTTTTGGAGGCCTGGCTAAGACTGATATCTTCTTCTAAACGTTATTGGATCTTGTATTATTATTCTTTGTTGTTAAATTAAAGTAATAACAATATGAAAATTATAAGCTTTATTGTGTTTAATTAATCATTTTTCATTGGCGGTTCATGTGTGTTGGTACTTAGTTTTGATGGTATTCCAACTTAGCTGTTGGGTTTTATTATTTATGCAGCTGTGACTGGTGAGAGCTTCCGTTTAGAGCTTCACCAACACTGATCTCTGTTGTTTTTGCTGATGACATGAACCTCTGCAATTTGGCTGAGGTAACTAACCTAACTTTTAACTGATCCATAATCAGTCAACTTTTTGCGCTTGAATTATGACCCTAAGTGATGCATCAACGCTCACGTGTCAGTCGGTAGAGTAGAATCGTCACTGTTAATGTGGCGATTGCATCATCAACGGTGATAGATAGCATTTTTCTCAGAATTATGGTGATGGTGTTACATTACTAACTAAGCTTTAACTCTGTGGACTAGCTATGATAATCCATTCCATTTCCGGGGATATAGTTATATATGCCCGTCAGGCTGGTATTGCAGAAGCCAGTGGAGGGAGAGGGAGATTGCAAACTTTACTTCCTTGACTGACCACAATCTCATTCTCATGTGCTAATTTCCCAATTTAGAGACTTTTTGGCTTTGCTTTCCAAGGGCAATAGTTCCTTGTGATTATGTGTAAGGACTGATTTTAAGAGTCACTAGTTCTTAGCTGACTTCTGATAAGATGATGTATTGTTTGTATTTTGATGGTACAATTGACGGCGTTTATCTTTATGTTGTTACTAAAGTTGCAAGCATTGTGACTTAGGTGACATTAACTAGAATGATTCTTAGATAGAGTTGAGTTGTGGTGTTGAACACTGCTGATATTTTTTGTTGTCATTACAACTACTAAGAAAAAAGGTACAAAAGATTAATGGCATTCTTGATGGGTGATATGAGGTTATTTTGACAATTGTGGTGTCGAATACTGCCGATGGGTGATATGGGGTCATTTTAACCCTTTGTTTTAGAGGTATAATTATATATCTGAGTACTAATCACATGCAATTTTTACAAGCAAAAACAACCATCACCAATGATTGCTAATATGCAACATGCAAAAAAGGGTGGAAAATGTGGCTTGAATGAGGGAATATTTTGCAACAAAATATATCGTTTTGTTTAGAGCCAAAAGTGTTTTCCTTTGACCGAGCAATCGCTCTAGTTTCTCATGCAAATATAGGAGATATATGTAACGAGTATTATAGAATAACCTTCACTTGAGGCTTTTGGTTATTGTAGATAAATTGAGGAAGTCTTGTTTGTCTACTCATTCAGTTTGGTTCTTGGAGCATTTAATTTTCATACTAGAGGACTGAGGAAACTGCAAAACGTTTTCTATGCATTACCCTTCATGAAGTTTGCTAAGTATCGCTCTTGAAATCCTAACTAATACCTGAATGTTGCTACTTATGTTTTAAGGTTACTGTGTGAAAAATTGAAAAAACTGAATCTGACTATGAAAAGACTGCAACTTTTAACCGAAAATACCGGTTAAACCTAAGCGCAAACCGAATCTGACTGTGAAAAGACTGCAACTTTTAACCAAAAATACCGGTTAAACCTAAGCGCAAACCGAATCTGACTGTGAAAAGACTGCAACTTTTAACTGAAAATACCGGTTAAACCTAAGCGCAAACTGAATTTGACTGTGAAAAGACTGCAACGTTTAACCGGAAATACCGGTTAAACCTAAGCGCTTGTTTGGTAGGAGGGAAAAATTATATCTAAAAAATTGAGTTTAGCTCATTGGATTTTTCAGTAGAAAATCCAAAATTAAATCTAGTTGGACTTTCAATATTATAGTTCAATCCTATTTAACCAAGGTTATATTGAATTTAGGCGGATTAGTCGGGTTTCTGATTAAATTGGATAAGTTGATCAACTCTTTCATAAAAAATGCATTTTGATAATTAAGACACGTGATTCTTACTCTTTTACTTTATTAACATCATACAAGGGAATAAGATTAATTTCTATTGTAATTTCTGACATGTTAATAGACACTTAAATCACTTGTTTTGCTTACGCTTTTTTATTTCTCTCAAATATTATTTTTTTTCAAAAATAAAAAACTTTCGTTCTTATTTATATAAGATGTGATCGAACTCACAATCTCTCTTAAATGTCCCACCCCACCTCACCTAAACCCGCAGCTCCATTAGATCAACCAGTTAGACAAAACCAAACAAAATAATAATAATAATAATAATAATAATAGTTTACTCAAAATAATAATAATAATAATAATAATAATAATAATAATAATAAAGAATTAGGTATAGAAAGAAAATAGGATTTGATCACCAGAATGACCTTTGTGGTCCAACTACATTTATGACTAACAATAATGTAAATGTCCTTTTAATATACTAACAATTATTAAAAGGGGTCATTTTCCTTCTTCATTACAAGAAGCTTCCAATTTAGACCATTCTGGTTAATTAATAGGGAGATTTTTTTGCATGTCTAGCGTATCAGTAAGTTAATTTTTTCTAATCGTTAGATTTATATATTTTTTTATATTTACGTGATTTTATGCATATACGAAGGACAAAAAATTTAATTTATGAGTATGTTATTGTATTAGAGGTCCCTAATTAATATAACTTGGTTTCTTTCTTTCTTTTCTTTTCTTTTTTTTTTTCTCTCTTTTGTAGAAAGATCAACTTGGAATTGGCTTTAGATTTGCATTGATTCCATGAGCATTGGACGGTTGAATTCTTAGAGTCTAACTCAATCATCCCATCCTTGGTCAACAACTATTACTTTCATTATAGAATTTAAAAAAATAAAAAAATAAAAAACTCATTATTATTATTATTATTATTATTTGGCGGGGCTCACAATTTAGATCACTTTTTTCTTTTTGCTTTTGAGGGAAGACTTGGATTTGCTTTTGCATTTTATTGGATTAAATTAAACTCTATAGGTTACAAATTCTGTCACGTATCTAGTTACTGTTCAACAACTTACCTTTTTTTTTTTTTTTTTTTGATCTTTTTGATAATGAACACAAAACGTACAGGTTAATCCCCTTTTGTGGCATGTGAATTATTTTATCCCAATATTGATTTGACACTTTGACTCTTATCTCATATTTGTAGCGGAAGAAAAGCACTTTTTTTCAGGGGGGAAAAAACATTCCTTGTTCATTACATTTGATTTCATTAATGGCCTCCAGCAATTACTATTTCAGTTTATTGTTTTTTAAAATTCGAATAGTAAGATGTGCGAGTACTTTAAGAAAAGCTCAAGTCGTAATTTATCATGGATAAATATTGAGTGAGTTTAAAACTCATTTTAAAATAATTTCATATTTTATAAAAAATTAAAAATTAAAAATTAAAAATTAAAAATAATTTTTTATTTATCTTTCATTTTACATTAAATTAAAAACTCATTTTTATTTTTTGTTTTTATTACGTCAAAAAATACTAAAAAATCGTTTTTATAACATACCCTTTTTTTACGGTGCCGGGAAGAACAGGAGACAACACATAGCACGTTAAAAGGAGAAGATTAAAGGGCAACTGGTTGGGGAGGTTCGCTGGAGAATTAAGTGAAATGAAAACAAAACAAAAAAAAAAGTAATAAATGGAAAAGTACGTAGAATAATTGTGATATTATTTATAAGTTATACTTTTTTTTTGTTTCGGAACTTTTAAACCTGTTTGAACATGAAATAATTTGGTAAGGTTAAATTGGCTAAATGAAAAAAACATGTAATTAAAGTATCACGAGAAAAAAAATGAAAATAACAAATATGTTGTTAGGCTTGATGTAGGAAATTTTACAATCTAGTAATCAAATATTTGGAAAATATTATCGTGTTTATAATTGATCTTATTTTTATTTTTTATGTTTTTTGAGAAAGAAAAAATAAAAACATTTTTAAAATAGCTTTTGACGCAATAAAAATAAAAAATAAAAATAAAAACAATTTTTTAGTTTAGTGTAAAATGATAAAGAAATAAAAAACGATTTTTATTCGTTTTTCATTTTTTGTTTTTATTTTCTCCTCTCGAGCAAAGAGAGAGAAATTAATGTGTTTCAAAAATAAATTTTATCTGAGATTGAAAACGTTTTTATTTTTATTTTTATATAAAAAATAAAATCCTTTTATAATGAATTTTAAACGCGTCTTTTATTTTTCTCTTTATGACACCATTTTTGCACAGTCGTATTAGAAAGATCTCCAGAAATCTGGTATTATTCAACAACGATAAACATTCTTCCTATTTTTATTGTTATTTTTGTGAGGAATTTCTTCTCCTTTTCGTGGGTATTTCGTTAAGTTTTTCTTTGGGTATTTCATTAAATTTTTTACGATCGTCTTAATGCTTTAAATTCTTTCGTTATTGTCGAGTATTTCCTACGGTTAAGTATTTTTGGCGATTGTTAAGTATTTTTGTCGATTATCATTTATTTCTTGTGATTGTCAAGTTTTTTCCCCTTCTGTCATTGTCAAGTATTTTGCTTAGAGAGAAAAAAATAAAAAATAAAAATAAAAAAACAGATTAGAAAAGAAAAATAAAATTCAAAATCAGAATTAAAAGAAGGGCAAATAAAATCAAAAATCAAAATTAAAAGAAGAGCAAACTTTTTTTTTTGTAATCAGCAAACACAACTAGTTAAAAAATATAACCTCCGCTTCAAATTGTTTTAACTAGTTACAGGTTATAATTTTCTTTCTATGTGGAAGTATTTTACCCGCTCTGTCAATCTAACAGTTTAAGGCCTCATTCATTTCATCGATTTGAGTTTAAAATTCGTGTTTTATTACAGTAAAAAGCTCTTAGAAACAATCACATCTAACTTTTTTATTACAGTAGAAAGCTCTTACATAAAGTCACATTTCAATTCAAATTAAAAACTCGAATTAACAAACTAAACGGACTATAAATCTTCTTACGACATGCTGTCGGGAAAAAACAACCCAACAATATAAAATGACCCCTTTCATTTAAGCTCAACACCATAATTTTTCTTCATTTCATTCACGTTATAACTTAACTAATTAGTTTATAATTGGGGTTTGGTTCCATTCTCTTCAACCTTCCGTTCTATTATTTAATTAGATATTTTCATTTTTGCCAAAAAAAAAAAAACTAACATTAAGACATATATGCGTTTGGAGCAAGAATTCGTGTCATTGTTGGGATTATGGTTTGTGACTCTTTAGAGTGTTTTTTCTTACAAAAAATACACGTAAATTGATAATAGTTCTGAATCATGATTTTGAACTCATGAACCAAACGTCGTGATCCTTCACCAACATTCTACCTAAAAATAGACACAAATTTTTTAGGTTTTAGTCAAGCTATTTTAGACATATAGCATAGTCTTACTAGGAACGTTGAAGTATAGCAAAACAATTTATGATATTTTATAAATAGAAAAGAAATTAAAATCATCAAAATATTTACAACGTTATTTTGCTATTCTTAAAATATTTCAAAAATATTTGTTGTGCAAGACTTGAGCTAGTTCGGCTGACTATTGTAGAATGCCAAACGGGCCTGCCCCAAGTATGAATAAAGGACTGGACCTTGACTCTGGGCTTCTGAGACTCTGCCCTGCTCGAACCTGTAAATGGTGGGAACTTTACAACACAATTACGTTTTAAAAAAAAAAAAAGAAATTACACAATTTACCCTTAATTGTGTATAGATCTAGATTTTTATCTTTTATTTTTGATTAATTTTCTTTTATTTTTAAATTAAAAACTCTCATTTTAATAAATTAAGTTATTTTTTATTTTTCTCTTATTTGACACTAAATTAAAAACTCATTTTCATTTCTATTTTTTATTTTTATTACACTAAAATATGACTAAAAAATCGTTTTTATAACATACCCTTGTTTTACGGCCCGGGAAGAGCAGGAGAC